GCGAATGTTAACAGACCCCACCCCATCCCCAACGTAGCATCAACTTGGTGTGCAAGTGCAAGCGAATGTTTACAGACCCCACCCCATCCCCACCCCATCCCCAACGTAGTATCACCTTGGGTAATGGTGAAAACGTGGAAATTCTCCGGGGCCGTTAGGGGGGGCGTGAGCAAAAACTAGGCATTCTTCAGTATTAAGAGCCCTCATAGGGGCAAAGAAAGAGATGGCCCAATATAAAGCCACTATGAAACATCGGGTCCTTTGGAACTGCTTCAAGACCGAAAGGCCACCTTAAAAACATCTCATAGAAAACGAGCCAAATCGATAATTGAGAAAACCTGCCAAATCGAAGGGTCTTCCCTTGCCATTTACAAACGCCATGTTGATACATAGATTCTTCGCATTTAAGGGGTTCAACTAAGCAGGCGCCGGAACCCACGTGCCCTAATGCCTAATCTATTCGGACCTATGTGCCCTAGCAGTTGGATGCCACGAGCAGGTTTAAAGTGTGCAAATTGAAGCCCAGCAAAATACTGTTTAGGGCTGGACACATGTGTTTTATGCTGTATGATTATGGTAATCCCTAACCTTTACGCACGCGTAGCTTTTGGGCGGTCATTTTGGGACACCTGCATCTAAAGGCTTGATGTGGACCGAGCCACAATACTGTCGCAGCCGCTCTTCTGCCAAGTCCATGCGGCGTTGGACTTCCCGGCCAAGGTCCTTCAACTGATAAACGGACTGCCTCTTGGAGGAGAGAGTGGGTTCAAGAGTTCAGGAGAGGAGTTTGCAGGTTGTCCCCTTCTAGAAGTACGTAGCCCAAACTGGACTCCTCCTTAGGCATCCTGCAAACTGAATCAAATACTCGGTCGCAAGAGGCCGATATCTAAGGACCAGTGCACTCCATCGTGACTGCCCATATTTGCGGGGCCACGCGGTGCAGGGAGAGAAGCTGCACTAAGAACCATCCGCTCACGCAGCTCCTTGCTGATACTCTCAGCTGCCTTGCGCAGCTCCTGTGCCAATATCAAGCATTTGGAAGTCGCCACGGACAATCATGACTTGAGAAAGGATGCATTTTGCATCATTTGACCGTATTTTACCTCGAGTGAGCGGGCTTCTTTTCCCATCAAATTCTTCAACACAGTAAATATCAGGAAGTAACTAAGCCTACTACATTACGTTCCAAAAAAAGACCTTGAGAAAGGCCTGTGGTCGGCCTGTTGCGCCCCATGGCCCCTGTGGCTTCTTCTGTGTTTCTTCTCACCTCTCACCGCGCGTGCCCGTTTACCATCCAGCTCATCAGAGTCTCCTCATGCCATTGTACTTCGGAACCTCAGTTAAACAAGTGGTGTCAAACTTAGTTAAGAGTTGAGACCCATCAGGAAATCAAGACCCTCCACTGCCATGTTCAAGACAGTGTAAGCTAAGCCAGAACAAACCACTCACCCACAAACTGTGGACTTATCGCTTAATCTCAACATTGCACAACTTCAAGGCCCCTATGCCCTCAGCTGCAGTGCTCCATGAAGCGCTTGGGTACTCCATGGTATTATTCCCATCAGCCAACCTGACCGCTAAGTCACAACTGTCCAGCACAGCTCAAGTTTTCCATGCGCACATGGGTCTTCGGCTCATCCACGTGGGATTCGCAGGTGTGAGACTGGATTGGTGGTTTGCTGGGTGTGAACTCTCACTCTTCCCTTTTGATGATCATCATGCAGCATGCGTCTCACTGAGAAAAACACAGCAAACAAAACACAAACTCTTCAATGCACTATCCAAACCATGTAGGAGATCTGTGATTGGCCGCCTGATTCCGCTGGTCCACCCAATCCAACCACGTCTAGACCGTGGCCCTCAGCACTATCAACCTTCCAGAATAGATCCAGGAGGTCTCATTCGTGCTGGAGGACCAGCCGAACAGGAAAATCCTTGACTTTGAGGCTTTGAGGGTCAACATGGGTCCACAAGGATTTTCTGCACCGGGTGGGGAGCGTAAATGGTGAGGCTTTGCGGTCAGGGCAAGGGTGCGAACCCTGCATCAACTCTGGCAATCTTTTTACACATTGTTTCGTTGGCTTAGCATTGGAAAAACTCAAGCCAAGTTTCGACAATTTCTACATTGGCATGACATGGTCATTGACCACTGACCACCTGCAGTTCTCCGGACCTCGATGCTGAACATTCAGGCGAGTACCATTTCTGAACTGAAGGCCTTCTGATTACGAGTGGAAGAAGAATGAAGAATACCTATACAATTGCTATGTAAAACGTATTCACAAACTTGCAGCCTCCAGTCAGTGCAGGCACCCGCCCTAAGAAGATCAGGTCATGATTTCAACGCCTCCTTTCCCTCGATAGCACGGAGGGGTTAACCGGAAGTACTTTTCATGAAACTCCGGCTGCTCATCATATGGCCTTGGAGGACCGCGTGTTAATTCTCAAGCACTGAAACAGCGTGGCAGGAAGCAATCAATAATCTAGTCTTCTTACGAAAAGCTAGTACTTTGTTGATGCCCGGGACTGTTGCACAAGACAAACCACTACCAAACAAATCAAGTGACTTCCTGCTGATCTTTCGATGTCCAGCATGGAGATCTTGTCGCCGCAACTATAGGCGAATCAAACAAAGAATGAGCCTGCCTCTCTGTTTCACACTCCCCACATTAACGTTCTGTTCGTTTAACTGCTCTCAAGAAATTGATCGACTTGGGTACAGGGTCTAAACGAATGGCAGGGTCTTTTCTTCAATTCCCTCCAAACAAAGCAGTATTCATGTTGTGGCGGAAAGTCGTTGCAAATTGGACAGCGGATTGGCATACTGATTCCGGCGAGCATCTAAAAATTAAGGAATAGGGTTCCAGGAGTATATTTTGAACACATGCTTTTTTATTAGCTGAATTCTGGTGCTGCACAGGTCTATCAACCACAGGCAGTGCCGAGCAGCCATTTCTTGCACATGTCACATGCCAAACACTTATGCCCATGACAGGCACATGCCACCATGAACCATGAATTGCTACCATTGGACCATGACCATAGACCCTGGCAGCAAACAAAATAAAAGTAGTTATATGATATATGTTTTTTTGAGTTAGTTCTGTTTGTATTCAAGTAGTTCAACCGACTTGCAATGGACTGAAATGGATGATGACGAATTTGATCTTGGGCGACAAAGTGGTTCTTCTAGAAAACAGACCAAGAGTCAGGGGATCTACGTGCTGCCTAGTCAAGGGATCGTTTGGATCTGGAAGAGAAAAGGTGCCGTCTATTCAGGATTGGATATTCGTGATGTTTCCGCCAAGACTACTCTCTGCAGCACAACCTTTTCTGAGGGAGTGAAGGCCGCTTCCAAAGCAAAAGGCCTGCGGACAAACGTGAAGTTGCCGCTTGAGGACCTCATTTTGCTGCGAGATGAGTGTGTGGAAGGTGGCATTCTCTTGAACGTTGTTGGGGGAATGATACTTGACGACCTGTGTGTTGAAAACCCATGTCCATTGAAATCTTTGGAGTTGGTGTTGGGACGCAGTTGTCCTTGGACTTCTCAAGCTTCACACAGACTGGAAATCGAATCATCAGCAGCAAAGCTTGGCGTTCCCACGGCGGGTGCCACAAGCTTGGCAGAGAGGGATGAACAAGCTGGAAGTGGACCAGCCCAACTTGTCGAGCTCGCGCCGGGCTCATCTACAGGTAGTTCGCACGAGTCGCAAATTGCTAGATCACTCAGGGCTCTACGAAGTCTGTTGACACAATGGAATGAGACAGATGCATTGGAACATGTGGAATACCTCTCAGCATCATTAGAGGTTGCTTGGCAGTTCTTACAGCTGAATGGATCTTTTTCAGGTGGTTTCGTAAACCATGCAAGGAGGCTAAGGCTAAACGGATTGGCATCACATTGCCTTTATCATTGTCTGTGAAACGGTGAAGAAAGGTCTTGGACATTGAGAAAATCAACCGAGGTTGTTCGAGGTACAACATCCCGCACGCGTGGTGGAACTACATATGTGGCAACTTACATTCTCGATGCTGTCTTGTTGGCAGACAAGTTGAAGGACCTTTCAAAAATGGCTTCCGCAGTTGAAGAGATTCTTGGCCTGCCAAATCAACTCTTTGAGTCTTAGTCTTTGCTTGCAATCTATTTCCACTTGAACCAAGCAGTCACACAGAAAACAGAAAACAACACATGTTTGTTGAGTTTTATCCTCTTGCAGAAGCAAACACCTTTCAGGTCTTTGTCAATGACATTGCAGCCGCAACTTTGCCAACACATAATTTCCCAGGCCCGGTGGAGATGAATGAGCTCCTGGCTTGTAGCAATCAAAATTCATGTGATACATTCCACTAAAAAAATAGTTTTCAAGTCTTCTCTATATTGCTAGGTTTAAGTTGTAAATTCGTTGAGGTCCCCACAAGCTTGTTCAGTGTTCGGTGTTCCTGAGCTCCCTTTTGTAATTAGGCTTGTTCAGTGTTCCTGAAGTCATTGTTTCAAAATCCCGAGCAAGGGAATCTCTATTCCACGAAAGAGCACGCTATACAAGTACCGCGTAGATCTGGACCTAGCATCCATTATTTGGGCACGCTCGAACCGGTTTCAATTGTCAATACCTTGGTACATTCACTGCCGTTTGGATGCCAGCTTGCAGTTTGGCCGTGACTACATGATGAGTGAGCTGGATCTTGTCTATCCTTCCAATGTCAAATCCTGGGAGGATGTTGGTGGAGATGGAGTGGTATACACGCGCTTGCTTGTGGGGCAGACTTTAGGCGCTAGAGCAAGCGGGGTGGTGGTTAAGACAAGGAAATTGCTCCATCAGCTAGCTTTGGTTTCTTGGATCTGTGATATGTTGTGTCCTTAAAGCAAAGGTTCGGGTGTCCTTTTTCTACTAAGCCGCAGCTAGCCAAACACAACGTTTGTCGCTTTTATATTTCTTCAAACTCCAGTAAGGAAAGCGAATCACTACATGGTACTTTGTGCAGATGTCTCTCACTGTTATTTGATTGGGGTGTTGAGTCACAGGTCTGGAAGTCACCAGCATCGTTCATTCAAGAATCACTGCCTTTCGACACACTCTTTGGAATGGCCCTGCCTTTGCCAGATGGGGACCATGCACTGCATCACGTGACTCTCATTGAATTGTAATTGTTGTTGTTGTTGTTGTTGTTAGTCTCATCATCCCCTAGAACCTTGAAGGCGATCTTGTCTCCTCCCTTAAGCCATGAAGATTCGTTAGGAAGTTTTCAATCTTGAGTCTTGAGGTGATGGAATGTTTGGAGTCATTTTTCGACTGGGACAACTACTTCCATCCCCGTTTGCATTCCCTCTCATTATTCTTCAGCAACATCTCCCGGTGCAATCGGTTCAACAAAGTGTGCATTTCTGAGAACAGCAGCCTATCAGACACTCAGACAAATCGGTTCAAATGATTTGTGTACATTTTATTCTTGCTTGTGAGAATGTTAGGTTGATTCGAAGAAGGGAAACTAAAAGGGAAATCAAAGAGCATGAACAACTAATCACTGATCGCGTAACCAGGAAAGACTAATACCTGTAGTACTGGAGTCAATTGGTTTGAGTTAGAGGCAGGGTCACGATTCACATTTATCATTTTGTTTGATCTGTTCCACCACATCAGGAAGAATTAAAGAGCAGCTTTATCAGCATGTTTCAACACACCTGCCCGCTTCTTTACAGCCAGCGCTGGCAGTATGTGTTTCTTGTTTGCGCTCTAAGTCTTGGAATCACCGCTTTGTTTTGGGGATGAGTTGATTCTATAAATTCAGTTTTCTGATTCGAGATGCAGTTGCTCAGCTGTTCTGCTTCGCTGAGGTTTGAAACATTGCTATGGGTAATGAGAAGAAAACAGGCCTTCTCCTACTTACTCAGGGATGTGAAGTTTGACTCTGGTATGAAGGAAATGTCTGAGCATGAGCTTGAGCTGCTGTCCTCTGTAGCAAACCAGGATTCCCACGATGGCCTACGCTTCTGGGCAACTTGTCATGTGGTGCAAGACTTGTCTGAGTGGGGGGCAAAGACGAGCATGTGGTTTCATGGCTGCCAATGCTTTCATCATCAAACAAAAAAAGAGCAAGAGGCTTGTAGATTGAAGGGGCGCAGGGGTGTACAACTGGCGCTGGGCGCATGGCGTACTTTCGTACAAGATCTGAAAGATATGGGCTTGAGTCCGGGTTCTCTTCTTGCTCTCCACAAGCTTGAAGCTGGCGGTGATCAACAGTACGCTTCTTTCTTGCTGGAAGGGTTTCAGAATTGCCGTGCCATGATGGAGCTCAGGTGCGTCCAAGCATGGTCTTTTTGGGACGTGCTTCCTTTCACAATCCTTCGGATGTGCAGCCACTTTGTCAGCGCAAACAATGACCAGTCAGAGTCAAGGAAGCATTGCTTGGATTTGATGAAGGAGTATGACCGAACTGAGTCCAAAGCCTCTCTTGGTGTGATTGCGTATCACTTTTTTGGGGTGGAGAAGAACCGAAAGCCCTTACGCAAGTGGGCTGTACATGGTCAGAAGCTTCCAAGGGAGTTGGAGATGTTGCTGCTGGGATACAGCACCTGTCTAACAGTCATGCAAAGGCTAGAAGCGAGGCATCATCTTGCAAACGTGGCGCTTTCTTCTGGTCGGGCTTTGAGTCCAGCTGCGCTCATGGCTGGGCTGAGAAGGAGGTTGAACCATGACCTGACACACCCAACTTTTCGACCAGCCCTGGCAGACTTGCTGAATCAATTTGATCGTCTTGTGCCTCAAAAGTGGAACTCCCGGAAGGAACTGTTGCAAATAGTCTATGGCTACGGACTAGATGACCTGCACCCAGACATTTCTTTCGAAGAGCAGCAGCTGGCCCGCCAAGCTGCTCTCTCGCAGAGTCTTCAACTGGCACTACCTACGACTACAACGACCACCGCCACGTCTGCCCTTTGTCTGTGATTGTATGAAACGTTTGCCGATACATGTTGCTTTCACCAGCCACCATAGACCGATATCCGATAGTACGATAGACCTTAGCTTGGGCGATGTTGATGTGGGTGGACCGGCAAGCAAGGACCGGCAAGCAGCCCTTCAGAATGAGCACCTGGAGGTTGTCTTTTGCAAGGGAGAAGCCGCTGATCGATCAGCAAATGTTTTTGCAATGCCATCCCCAAGCAGCAAGAGCTTTGATGGTCCCAGTCCAAGAAAGTTCATTGTGTTCAAGATTGTGAGTCTTCACCCAGATCGGCGATCATACTTGCAAAGAGCCTACTCACTGTCGTCTGATGACGCTGGCTTAAGCTGAGTTAACAGATTGTAGTTTTCCCACTTAGCCAGCATTCACGTGTTCCATCATTGTTGAGTTCCGGCTGAGACAATTAAACTTTTGTTCAGGTTCTGGAGCAAAAAGTAGTTTGGGGCGCTAGTGCTAGTGCT